GGCGCCTGGTCGATGCATGGCTGGCGGTATCCGGCATAGCACGCTGGTACATCAAGTAGCGCATGGCACATAGATGATGACACAGCAACATCATAACGTGAAGCAACTAAGTTACTTGGACAAATGAGTATGAATGCGAAGTGTATGGGGAAATGCATGTAGGGCGATAGTGCGAGTTCGAATCCCAGGTAATGCCTGAAAAAATAGGAGAATTGAAAAATGTATAACATCCCTTTTCTTTTTTTGCCGTCATCAAGGCGAAAGACGGTGCGTATTACCCTTGACCGTACCTGTCCCGTACCTGTCCCGTACCTATCCCGTACCGCACCGTACAGTCAAAGACGGCTGGATTGGATTGGATTGGATTTTTATTCCCGTAGCTATGCAGAAGACGTTACTTTAGTAACGTCTGGCGCTAGCCAGGGTCCACACAGCTTTAATTTGGTGTTTGTTTGTGTGTTTGTTTGTTTGTGTCACGCCTGGCGCTATCCGTATCTGACGGCAAAAAAGCATAGGATGTTATAAATTTCTCAATTCTCCTATTTTTCTTTCAGGCATATCCTGGGATTCGAACCCGCACTATCGCCCTACATGCATTCCCCCATACACTTCGCATTCATACCCATTCTTCCAAGTTGCTTCACGTTATTATCTTGCGTTTGAAGCCCTATTTGAATATTGCGGGCGGCCGGCTGTATGTGGCCAGCTGTGTTTGATGGTACGGTACGGTAGGGAGGCGGTGTCGTATTACCCTCGATCGTACCTGTCCCGTACCTATCCCCTACCGTACCGTGCCATCAAAGACGGCTGGCCACAATGCATATTCAAATAGGGCTTTCAAATGCAAGATCACAATGTGAAACAACTTGGATGAATTAGTATGTATGCGAAGTGTATCGGGTGATGCATGCAGGGCGCGCCATAGTGCGGGTTCGAATCCCAGGTTATGTCTAAAAAAAGGATTTTTTTAAAGAATGTATATAAACATCCCTATGCTTTTTTTGTCTAGGTCATCAAGGCAAAAAAGCATAGCGTAGGGCCCTGAGCTTCCAAGCTCTCTCGTTTATAGTGGTGACTATAACAGACAATTGCCTAATAACAATAGACCCACTCGAGGGAAAGATGCAAAAGATATGAATAATTAATATAATAATAGACTACCGGTATTGGATAGGTGATCATGTTCGCATTTTGCATAGCTGAAAGTCATAATTACTAGCGTGAAAAAGCAAGGCATTGGGGTAACAGTTTCTTAAAACGGGCGGAGTTATCCACACAGCGAGCTAGAGGGTGCAAATCATTCCACAGCTTAGCACATTGGAAGGAAGCGCCATGACGGGCAAAGGCAGTTCTGAGCATGGGCAACTTAAGAGTGCGTGATACAAGGCTGCGCGTTGCAAGACCATTATTTAAACGCTCGAACATTTGACTTAATGTGACACTACAGCGGCCTTCCAAACAGCGCCACGTCAGATACAGTAATTTCTTGCAATACATGGATGCCAAACGATCTAGACCAAGTCTCGCAAATAAAGGGCTTGATGGGCTACAAAAACCAGTATCGTACACTGAACGCAAAGCTCGCTTTAGCATTCGTTCAAGCCTACCTAACTGGGTTAAGGAAAGGCCAGCAGAAAAAACAATTTGATGCATATAGAAAATCTGGCAACACTAGGCACTTTACAAAGGTTTCTCGGCAAGTCAGCGGAATATTGTGTCGATTTCGGAACAGAATACCAATGTTACTGGCAAGTTTGGTGACCATAGAATCAACTTGAGTCCTCCAAGAAAGATCCTGGTCCAAATGTATTCCAAGGTACTTTGCACATGTCACTTGCTTGAGCTGCACTCCATGACAGTAGACTGCAAATTGGTGGTCAGTAATATGTGGCGTAGACAGGAAGAGCACTTGTGTCTTCCGGGCATTTAGAATTAAATTGCGGTTTGACAGCCAGGTACTAATGGCTGAGACAGCTGCAGACAGGGAGTTGCTAAGCGCATTCTTCTGCGTACCGCAAACATACAATAGAATATCGTCAGCAAATTGAATAACTTTCACACAAAACTCGGAGACAATGGACTGGATCGAACGAACATAGAGTACAAAAAGCAGCGGACCAAGAACAGAGCCCTGGGGAACGCCACACATGCAGGGGAAAGGAGGGCTATAGTTCTCAGCAATGTGCACTATTTGGCGACGATTGGACAAATAGTCGGCAAACCAAACTAATGCTGAACCAGATATGCCAAGCTCAAACAAATCATTAATGAGCACTTGGTGCCTGACCTTGTCAAATGCTTTGGACATATCCACGAGCACAGCACCAGTAATTTGTCCGGCATCGCGAGCGCGAACAAACGTGTCCGTGACGAAAACTAGAGCGTCTTCCGTTGAATGTTGACGTCTAAAGCCAAACTGACAGGGAGGGCTGGCCACAATGCATATTCAAAATAGGGTTTTCAAATACAAGATCATAACGTGAAGCAACTTGGAAGAATTAGTATGTATGCGAAGTGTATCGGGAGATGCATGCAGGGCGATAGTGCGGGTTCGAATCCCAGGTTATGTCTAAAAACAAAAAGTAGAAACTTATAAGAATTATATAACGTCCCTATGCTTTTTTGTCTAGGTCATCAAGGCAAAAAAGCATAGCGTAGGGCCCTGAGCTTCCAAGCTCTCTCGTTTCCACGATGGCCCATGGCCAATAAGGAAGATAATAATAATAATTATTATGATTCAAATCATACCAGAATCATATAAAATCAGTCTAGCAAGTAAGGAAACCAACACATTGCAGGGGGATGGGGTTACGATGGGGTACAGTGTGAGCTACTACAGGAGCGTATGGATGATAGAATGAGGCTAGACGCCATTGATTTAAACGCATGCTTGCTATTTGTTTCACGCAGGTCGGGGGGTAGTTGGTTGAAATTGTGAAGGGACAGGTTGATGGGTGAGTTGGTGTGTCGGTATGTGTGTGATGTTTTCAATGTGTATGTTCTCATGTGTCGTAGTGCATATGGCTGCTCTGTAATTGGTCGTGCAAGGTGAGGCTGTTGCAGGTGAAGGGGAGCGCGGATGTACTTGATGTTGTGGGCAAGAGTAACCTGTCGTAAGAGTTGCCGGGAGACTAATGTGGGAAGTTGGAGATGACGAAGAAGTGAGCTGTGATGGACTGGTGCAAAAAAGGGGATCCGCAAGCAAATGGTATGGTATTGATTTATTTGAATTCGGTATCTCAACAGTACAATGTACAACTTGGGAAGATCCGAATGACAAAATACTGCTCGTCGCTGAACGCGTTCTAATTGGTCCTTCTGTGTGCGGGTGGTGTTGGATAACACGAGACTGCCGTACTCTATAACCGGGCGAATGTAGGCGGTGTAGATTACGAGCAGACTGGGGGTGTTAAGTTGGCCTCGTGTTTTACGAAGTTGGTGAAGGAGGTTTTTGGATTTGTTTATTATGTGCGTGACATGTGAGTTCCATTGGAGGCTGTTTTGTAGTATGATTCCAAGGTGACGGTGTTCGTTGACTTGCTTTTGGGGTGTGTCGTTAAGAGTGATGTTGAGTTGGTGGTTTGGTGTGAACGACAAGGTAACGGTCCTTGAGGCATTGACGAGGAGGTGCCATCTGCGCAGCCAGGCCGCGGCAGCTGAAACGGCTGACTGCAGGGACAACTCCGATGTCAAACGGCTCTGATGTGTTGCGATGAGCGCCGTGTCATCTGCAAATTGGCTGCACTTTGTGTTAGAGTTGGTACAGGCAGAGGGCAGGTCAACGGTGTAGATCAAGAACAGCAGGGGGCCTAGAACGGATCCTTGGGGCACCCCTGCTGGTATGGCTTGCCACTCACTGAAGGCGTCGCCGACACGAACACGTTGACGGCGATGGGTGAGGTAGTTGACCATCCATTGCAGTGTTAGTGGACATTATAGCGTGACATGTAGTTCCTTGGTCCTTTTTCGTTTCTATAAATTCATCCTTTGCTCTCCATCCTAGTCTATTAAGTTTTACTTGGGCATTCCCAACATTCCCAACATTCCCAACAGACCACCCTAATGTCTACTTACAGGGTGCCCAAGATCAATGAATGAGTTAATTAAGGTCCGGGCGAAATGAATTGGGGTCTTCCTAAAATCGTACACCAAATTCTCCCTCTCCTCTCTCTCTCTCTCTCTCTCTCTCTCTCTCTCTCTCTCTCTCTCTCTCTCCCTTCTACCTCTTTTTCTCTCCCTTACACTCTCTCTATTGTCTTGTCCTTCTCTCGTTTCGTTGTCACCTTACGTGATGGTTATCTGCTTTTCGAGTGAAAGAGGCAGAGCTCGTACACGCACAAAGTACGTGGAATGCCAGAGCCACAACATACATGAACATAATTACGCCAGTGATGATAGTGCTGCACTACATTGCACCTGGGGCGTCAATGTCAATAGTCCACCCTTCGCTCTGCTCTGTTTTCAAACCTCTGTCCAGGCATGAAGCCCTTTAAAACTGAGTCTTGGGCGGCTAACACAAATTCATGGTTCACGTGAGACTTCGTTAAACTGAGTTCTTCCCAATCCAGGCGATGATTGCGCTGATGCAGCTCCTGAGCGGCGGGATGTTAGGCCGGGATGTTAGGCTAGGATAATAATAATTATTATGTTGCTCGAACAGCCCCACTGTATGCACCATGATGTGTGATGTGCATAATACTATGATGATTATTTTTGTTCTCTGGGTTAGGCCATGGAGGCACACGCGCCCGGACATGCCTGTCTCTGGGACGGTTGCACTGAAATACTGTTCCCATCGCCAGTTTAAACAAGCGTATGTTCGGGATCCATGCGTGTTCCCAAACCCCGGCGCCACGTTCCTGCACGAACAGAAACCATGCCCTTCGACTCAAACATGCCAACCAATGGCTTTCTGCACAACATGCCTTGGGTACGACTCCTTTAATTCAGAGGAGAAGCCCCAGTTTCAACAAATCACCCACAGCATTGCTCGCACAAAGTTTAGGTTTCCGTACGGTCAGGCAGTGATATCTGCGCTGAGTCCGATCGGCAGAACTTTCAATAGTAATGCATGATAGTGTATAGCTGGAGGTGTGAGGGAGACGTATTCTGTGGACACGACTCGGGATAGGATAATAATCTCGGATGCTCAAGGTTGGGTTTGACGAAAAGCAAGCGCTGCGAAACGAATCGTACTTGACAAGAGACAGGTCTATACCTAGGAGTATTGAGATAAGTCAAATTCAAGATGAAAGTTATGATAGTTCTGAGAGTTCGGATTCAGCAGAAGAAGGTGTTGGAGTTTTGACCTGGAAGTCGCTGCGACGACCATGCTGTGGGTGTACCGACGCACTGCAGTACGCTGGCCGTTGGTGAGGGACTGTTGCCTTCCAGGATCCTGTCCAGCTCCGATGCGCTCATGTGCTGCTGCGAGCGGTCGACGAAGCAGCTTGCAGCGGGTGCCAGCGGTGATGGCGGCTGGATGGCGTTGCCCAGAACTCGACTTGCGAGTCTTGGAGACCACGCCAGCTGGTTGGTCGCTACCAGGTTGAAGTAGATGCGAGTTAGTGGTGTAACGGGAGTGAGCGGAGTCACTGGTCGAGGGCTGGCAGTGGAACGGAGACTGGACAGGTCTGCACTGCCCGGAACCAGAGGACTGGGCGAGCCAAAGGCGCGAGTCATAGCCGGGTAGGGTTGTGCTGCCGATCTGGATAGCTGGCGGGTTCTGCGAGCGCGCAGGCAACCAGTAGCATTCGACTGCATCATGTCCGACGACCAGGTGGTATCCGGATGGGTAGGCCGTGCCAGTTGCGACTGAATGGGTGAGGCATAGGACGCTTGCACACACGATGTTGATGTGGTGCTGCAGCTGGCTGTGGTGATGGTTGAGTCGCGAACGCTGGGAAATGTGAATGAACACTCGCTGTTGGCCGAGGCTGGCGGCGACATTGTGCCGTAATCGCTATCCACCGTCTCTGCGGGCAAGGACGTATTGCTACACTGCAAGTCCACAGTGAGAGGTGATGGTCGAGAGTGAATGCTGCTGTCGCTTGTGCGAGTTGTGGCGGCGTCATCACTTCCCTCGCCATTGCAACCCACGCTGAGCTGAGCCGAGGCGATGCCGGACGTGGGTGACGAGTCCAGGTCGCACGTGACGGCGCCGACAGAGGCGACCTCTTTGTCCTCGGCCTCCTGCAGCATCTTGCTCATGACGGCAATGTACTGACCGGCACGACGCAGGATGTCCATGCGCGACAGTTCCGGCTCCGACGGGTGAATGGGCACCAGGGTCTTGAGCGAGTCGAACGCGTGCTTCGTGCGTCTGCTGCGATCTCTGGCGCGGGCGTTGCAGATCACTCGCTTCTCAGGCAGGATCTGCGTGGTGTTCTCCTCGACTTTGTGGCAAATGAACGACGAGCGCAGCTCATCAAGGTCGAGTTCCTCCTGGCAAAGTTCGGGCTCGTTCGCGCTGTTGTCACTCACGCTCAAGAGACCGGACAGATAGTCGATATACTCGGACGCGCGTCGCACCACGTCAATGCGCGTCAGCTCCGGCTCGGCTACGTCCTTGGGCGTGACACCGCGCAGCGCTGTGAAGGCCTTGCGCAGGGCTTCGACCCGGTCGCGCTCACGCCTGTTGGCAGTGCAGCGCTTCTCGTCCAGGATGGGCTTGTAAGTGATGGCCGGCTCGGCGGAGGCGGCAGCTGGTGAGACTTGCTCGCTCAGCGGTGACGACGCTACGCCGACAGAGGCGATGGTGGGCATGGCACAGGAGAGTGCATCGGCACCAGCACTGCAAGATTGTTGGAGAAGCAAATCCATTCTGACGTCACGGAGTGTGGTACACACGGGAACTATACAGCAGTGAGTGTGCGTGCAGCGAGCTCAAGAGACTGGACTCGAGAGAGCTAGAGAGAGAGGTGTTTTCACTGAAGTGTTGTTGATCGTCTCGTGGACTGTTATGATTCCTCTCTGGTGCAAACAGTGAACTTATAACCCGTGGGCTGGTGACCCAGTTCGACCTCGACGTCGACTCCGATCCGAGCCTAGCCCCCCGATCGACATGCACGCATGCAGCATGCAGGCTATCCAAGCCAAGTGTGTGCGTGGTGAGTACGCGTGGCATGCATAATTCCCTGTTCAGATTCTGCAGTGCGTGGGTATGCAGTATGATTGCTCCTACTGTCTTTCCTGTATGTACATGCACATCGTGTTCCCAGTACTCGGTATGGTGGTCATGCCCTCTCACAGTCGCAGTCAAGTACGTGAACAAGCAGATCCCGTGATCACTCAGCACAGCGAGCTGGCACATGTATCATGTGCCCATGGCAAGTATGTGCGTGGGTGAGCGGGACTGGCACTACTTGGGTGTGCGTGGGGTATCCATTCTACGGACACACGGATACTGTACTAGCAGTAACTACTGTATGTCAGACCATCAAGCATTCCGGGACGACTGGAAAGTGTGCAAGTGAAGCCAACACTAGGACAGAAGACCCTTCATGTACATGATATGTGTTGGGCTGTGGCTGCGTGGGCTGGGGCGACAACTGAGCTAGCCAGAGTAGATGCTCATTTCACAGTCGCCCATGCCCACGCGCCAGTCAAAATCCTGCGGTCCGAAAACTCAGATTTTTTCATGCGCTTGCCCTCCGTACATGCAGCCGGTCGACTCAAAATGGTCGAATCGATCTACTGTCGCCCACGACGCTCAACAGCTGTGGTGTGCGCGATTCTAAGGTATGCCGACAAAAGAACATCAGCACCACGCGAAAACCAGAGTCTAGGGCTACACAGTATAGTGACTGTGGTCGATATACACATACACATGGCAAGACAGCAAGAGAGTGAAGCTGCAAGGGGACACACGGACTTGATATCCACACTAGGAGGACACCCACCGCCCACATGCACACACACACACACACTAAGAGACGCCAGCCATGCTAGCCATACTGTCCTGAAAACGGTACCGTATGGCCAAATGCAGCACCGGCAGAGAATCAAGCCACAAAGAAGGCGCATTGGCATACATTACAGCTGCTACATGTACATGTAGCGCTCCAATGGGCAATAATCATGCATGAACTAATACTTGAACTGGTGGGAGCACTGCACAACAGCTGGCTATAATGGTGAGATTGATAGACGCAAATACGGATTGCAGTGGGTAGGGTAGGATGGGGTGGACGCGACGCCATACAGATAAAAAACTACAGAATATCACCTATAGATCGAAACCACGCAGGTGCTGCGTAATACGTGAGGGGAAAGTCATAATCCTGGCGCCAAGCAATGTCCTCCGCTATCTAAACAACGTCGTTCACTGTCCATGTCCACACGCTGCATAACAATTTCATCGCTCCGCAAACATTACGAACTTAGAACATTGTAACATAAACAGCCCAACGCGGTCCACAGACGGAGCAGCAAAGATAGTAAGCTGTCCAATATGATCCTCCTATCATGCACTGCACATGAAACAGACTATTGGAGGCGCTGCCAGGCCCTTCTTGCACTCGGCAGCAGCTGCAAAGTTCTTCAGATGCCACGAATTCAGTGGAGCTACAAAACTGAGGTTCCACGCAAAAAGTTCATTCATTTCTTTACCACCACAAAGCAAGAACGGCATGGTACCCTAGCTGACGCGCCTAGAGGAATACAGCAGAGTTTGTCCGCGGCCAGGGCTTCGTGGAGAGTTGGACGCTTGCACTCTGCCAGTATAAAGCAGACACGTCGCTGGGTGGACACACTTCGATCCCTGCCTCTCCATGGGTCTGCACTTTCCTCTTGGTGTTCTTCCTTTTGCCCTGTCAACCAGATTCATGTGTGGCCTATGGTGAGAGAGAAAGAGAGAGAGAGAGAGAGAGAGAGAGAGAGAATGATGAGATATTTATGATGATGAAAGTAGCTTAGATGCGAAACGGTATGTGAAAGCGAAGCCTAAGGAAGAATTTTGTTTTCTCCTTCACGACTTCTTCTCATCTTCCCTCTCCTACGTGAACTACGTTAGCAACGTCTGTCTTTAGCAATCCATAATGCACATCCCTTTCTATGCATGTTTATGGTGATGGTCGCAGCAAGATCCTTCATCATTCATGTATGTTCAATTGTGGCGGATAACTACATTTATGATGCTCACTTTCTTGCAGCCATAAGGATTCCAGAGTATAGCTGGGCTGGTGGAAGCTTTTCCGTCCTTATTACTCTCTGAGTTTTGGACTTGCTGCGAATGCTAGTGCTTCAGTCAACTGCTTGATACATGTGTATTACTACTAGGAGCCAAACTGCATGCGGAGGTGTCCTTGTCAGTATTTTCACCGCAGAATGAGGATCACTGCCAGGAACAAGGTACCTTGGCGGCGGACGTCGATCGTATACAATCATTTCAACATTGAAATAGTGCATTTTTAATTGATGCCTGTTGATCACGAGATATTTTGGTAAAGTAGCATATTAGAAAACCACTGTCAACCAATTTTTCATGTTACATGTTCTGGAGGATTCTAAGTATCTTGAAAACTAGTTTCAAGGAGAGTAGACATACAGAGAGCTTCAGAAGTATTCAAGGTGCACGGATATTTCCTTAGGTAATTATCAACAACACATCCGTCTTGACAATTGCAATTTCACACACTGAAATGGTCCAACCGACTCAGAGTTATCTCCACAATATTTCAGTACAATGCTCCAGCAATTTAGGATGTGTGTACCTGCAACGCAGGCAGTGTGGTGTGAACCTTATACAGTCAGTAGATGTACCTGTAAGTGATATGTTATGTGATCACTAAGAACACTGAAGATATGTGATATTACCAGACTGATTGCATCACCTTGACTGATCCACAAGCCGTACAAAATGACTATCTACAGCTATAATGTATGTGCTGTGCCAGTACATGGCCAAACTCAGCTCAATAAGACATGGGCCAATAAGACGTCACCTGGGTGGCTGAAAAATGAGGACAAAATAGCTGCTACCATGCATTCTACATGCCAAAGAAGCAAGGCAAGATGCCTGTACTGCACAAAATCATACAATGTCATGTAATAATTATTATCTAGCTGCTGATAACACTGCTGTTATTGTAAAATGTAGTAGCAAGAGTACATAACCTCCCGGAGATTATCTACTCTTGTCCGTGCATGTAGTTGTAGGAGACCTGGAGTCTTGTTTTTAAGCCTCTTAAACGGGCAATCACAGAACAGGAGACCTGGAGTACACTACAGTGCCATGAATCTGCCAACAGGCGCGTAGTTCTTCCACGGATTGTCTCGACTCCATGCCTGCCTGTAAATAAGGAGTTCAGTCGGGCACATCCGGTGCCTACATTATAGTTTCCACTAGTGAGCAGCAGATCATAAACCCTATGAGAAACGCATCGACGCTAGTACGCCCTACACGCGGATAGATCGTGGTTGAAAGACGTTGTGTCGCTCAATATCTATCACGAGCAAAATACCGTAGTGTGAGTCAGAGTGAAAGGCCAAGTATCGGGTTCTCGGCTAGGATAGACTACAATACTAGTCATACCAGTAGTTGTTCCGCAGCCAAAGAATAGCAAAGTATGTTCAAATGGCAGAAGTGAGGAGTGAGGAGTGCATATCAGTACATGTATCAAGCATACTCATGATGTTCGGCACGTCCTAAGCAGTAATCCGTTACACCAGCACAGGCACCACACCAGTCGCTGGACATGTCTTACCTCTGTCCTGGACTCTACGGATGTCAGATCTGCAGATCTGGTGCGTTCAAAGAGCCATTCTGCCCCGCTAGGCCGCTCACTCCACTCCAACGGTATCGCTCATCTGCTTCAAAAGTAGATACTCTGTAGTCCCATTCAACGCAGCGTACACGCTCGTTCATTTCCCCTTCAAGGTATCGTAGAAGCTTTCATCTTCCCTACTTTCGTCACGTCTTCGGCAAGGCATGAAGTTCCTTTCCTTCTCCACCCATCATTAGGCTTTCGTCATAAGCAACAAACAGCAACGGTCGAGGAACACTCATTTCCAAAACGTTCCGGACCAGAGACACTTGGGAACTGAGCCCCTGCGCTCTTCACCTGGCCTTTTCACTCACGCAGAGCAGCCAGAAAGCTGTGCGTGGGATGTGCTTGTGAGTGGTGCTGATTGGAGTGGTGGGCGAGACGCACTGACGCTTGACAAGCCAGCATTGGCATCAAGACCTGCAGTAGCAGTCAAGAGGCCAGTGTCAGTGGCTTGTTGCGGTTCTCAGCGCTAGCAAAGTCAGGTGTGCAAGCAGTGCATGCCATCCCGTGGCATATGACTCTCACTCTCAGCTGCAGGAAAAAGTACAGTCAGTGGCGAGCAACAACACTTGTGTCCGAATCCCGGTTGCGTGGGTTTGCGGTGAGGTGGGTGGAAAAGATACAGCCTTACACGTGCAACACCGCTGCACGACTGCACGCTCGATGTACAGCAAGTACTAGTAATGCTGACAGTTTACTAGCAGTTGGGTAGCGTGCAGCGTGGGTGAGCGACAAGACCGCGGCATATGCACGTCGACGCAATCGACATATTTGTGTGGGTGTTTTGAGCTAGCAGCTACAGTACTACTAGTACTAGGCTCCGGGTCGGACAGCGCGAGCTCTGCACTGAAGTCCTCTTCCGACGAAGTACTGTAATCTGGTGAGTTCCGTTCTTCACTGGTAGTACGGGGTGGGGATTCTGGGGAATTGGATCCTTGGCTAGTACATGTACTACATGTGCTAGCCAAGGATCCTTTCAACACAGTTTATTCCCTGCTCAGAGCTCCATGTCGACTGGTGACTCTCTTCAAAGATATCACAGCCTTTCTCTCTCTCTTTTTCAACATGCCACGAGGCTCTGTAGCCAGTGTAGGAGGAGACAGACGTGGAAAATAGGTGCGCGGCGCGTCCAGACATGGTGCATGCACTCCTCCCTTCACTACTCCACTGCCTACACTACAGACAGTACAGTACAGGCTACACTACAGCAAAGGTCATGTTACGCAGATCTCCTTCTCCTAGTCCTTCTCCTACCTGTAACTACGGCACACTACGTGCAGTCATGTACTGTTCTTCGAAGTGGTTGTGCGTGGGTAGTACGGTCAGTTATCACTATCAGGCAGGCATTTCCGCGATGCCAGACTGGTCGGGGGGAAACCCGGGTTTCGCCGACTAGCGACTGTCGACTGGGCCCGTGACTTGGCCGAAGTGATACAGCTGCATTACATGATTCATGATAGACGGTATCAGTCAGCAATCAGCATGCGACTCAGCCGCAGTCAGCGAGACAAGTACCATGACTGTACCTCAACTACAAAAAGTTATAGTTAGTTGTGGTCAAGACTTGACAAGAGTGCTTTGCTGAGGACCAGTACTGCCTACTGGTGGCCAGTGCAGTGGTGCTGCGCGTTGTACAGGTAGTAGTCGGACATGTATGCGGCGTTTTTCTTTTATCAACCGATGGGCCGAGTGAGTGAAACTGCACACATACACACAGTATTATCATACACGTGTCGGTGGGTGTTACTGTAGCTCTCCAATGCGTGGCCGGCTAGTCCAGGTCAATGTTCCCAGTACCGAGTTATTTGCAAAGGCAAAGGAACAAAATGCAGTCCTCCTTGGTCCACAACCTCGGTCCACTTCCGGCCGTGAAGTCAAGGCGAACCTATACAAAATAGTTGAAAATACCAGTTCTGTTTTGGAGCGGCCAGCGTGTACCGCATGGTCTACGTGTGCTAGGATTCTGCGCCCACTAGCACTGTCTGCTGAGGTACTACAGCACCGGTATTTATACACTTTTCCGGAACGTCGTCCGTAGACCTTCACCACTGGCACTACGTGATGCACATGACACGTACTACACTAGTCATGCAGTTGGAGGACCTCTACTACACCCCCACCCACACAATCATGTCGCAGCCAGCAGGACACCCACACGCCACTACGCACTCGATCAAGGCATGCCCAAAACGACACAAGATGTACCATCACAGGATTCCCCACTGAACAATCTAACAAGACCGCAAGTACTTGCGGTCGTCCACTGCAAACCGCAGGCCGTACTCCATACTCACTTTGTGACAGAAATTCCTTGGCGTTTCAAAATGACTAGTAGTAGTACTAGTATTTCAAGTACTAGTAACTAATACATACGTATGTATTTTGTATCAGTATCATTCTGACCGCTGGTACCGTGAAGGCGTGATGGTGCTAAATCAGGCGCTAGGCCTTGGCGGATAATGCTCGAAAAGGTGGCAGATTCTGCTTTTTTTGCACCGAAATTGGCAGAACCATACAAACCTTATGGCGGACAATTCCTCGAATTCTGCTCCATTTCTTTATCCACATACCAAACATGCATGAAACTTACCAGAAAAAGTACCGAATTCTGCCAATTTTTCTGCCGGCATTATCCGCCAAGGCCTAAAATCAGCTCCCTATTGAGCACTCCTTATTTTAGTACTAGTCTTGGTGCAGTACAGGTAACTATTATTATTTTAGTACAATCATGTACATGTACATGTACATCAAAGACGCCGGTCTGCACGTGATCCCCACTGGTACCACGCATGCGCAGTTCCATTTGCCTGTTAGCGACACCTCGATTTACAGGGTGTTACTGATTTTACTACCACTTTACATGCTGTGAACTGCGCCGACACCCACGGTCAACTGGGTACTCACTGCTCGGAGTGAGGGTAACATGGATGCAGCTAACGAGGTTAGCTCCCTTGTCGGGCATTGGTTGTGAGACTTACCACCTCACACTCGCCGTTAGGCGCTGCATCTGCGAAAATTTGTATATTTACAGTATCTGCTTCAAAAGAATCAAAACGGATAGTGCACGCCTTGACGGCTTCTTCCAAGGCTAGTAGAGCACTACAAACAAGAGTACATGTTTTTTTTTTCTTTTTTTTTTCTACAAAATCCACATATCTCCAGACACTGGGGTGAATGATGGAGTGTGGTGGTGGGGCCCATTGAGCTCCGCCGACATGTACCGTATTATTATTATAACCCCCGGGGGAGGGCCTTGTACAATGTAAGTTACCGGTATAATAATACCCTCGCTACAAATTGTAGTCCATGAATGTACATTTGCTTTTTCATCTGATTCACGGTGATCGTCTTGGTGGAGGGGACTCCCCAGAATTTAGGCACCGGCGGATAATGCCGGCAGAAAATTGGCAGAACTCGGTACTTTTCTGGTATTTTAAAGTTTCATGCATGTTTGGTATGTGGATAAAGAAATGGAGCAGAATTCGAGGTATTGCCCGCCATAAGGTTTGTATGGTTCTGCCAATTATTTCACTGCTTTTCGAGCAGAATCCGCCGGCGCCTACCCCAGATACGGACGTCCCTAAACTGGGGCCTGTCCATCTACCTACTTGCTACGAGTATACCAGCTACCGAGCACCTCTCTGATCTAATCACAAAAGTTGGCATTTCAACACAAAGCAGGCCCCCAAACTAATAATAATAATTAGGCCAAACTAAAGAAGGTGTGTGGTTCGACTCACCCGACCGACCGTACAATTTCAGCCCGACCGTAACTTTTTTTCGGCGGGCTGTCGTGTGACTGACGTACGTGGACTGAACACGTCCACGTCTACGTGCTGTGCGGCGTGAGTCTGCGGACGCAGGCGGCTCCTTTTGGACTTGACTTGTAGTTGTACTGCAGTGCAGTGCAGTGAGTGGTACGACTGCTGCCTTGTGCTGGTAGTAGAGTCTACTCGATACGCGTATACATGTATACAGTGTATTTACATGTACTAAAAAATATATTTAAAAAAAAAATCCGCCCGCCCGCAAAAAAAATGTCCATGTTAGTCGAACCACACACCTTCTTAGTTTGGCCTTATTATCATATTGTTATGTTTACTTTCAGCTGCTGAGGAATTTCTCATCGACATCATCATCGTGTGCCAGCACCTCTGTCTCGTGTAACAACGATAGCGGATCTGTATCTGAATGAAACCTATGAAGTTGAACACACACACACACACACACCATTGGACGCCCATCGCCGGAGGCGATGATAGCGATGCAACAGCAGAAGCCATAGCAACTTGTGCAAGGATTGCACCATCCAGCAGCTTGCAAGGCTGAAGAATTGACCGCCACTATTCAGCCTGGTCACACCACAGTGGCCACACAGCTATGAAGTGGCTTTTTCTGGCCAGTGAATCCCTACTTTTTTTCCCCGCACATACATCACACCACATACTCGGCATGCACTGGCTGTTGGTAACCACCCAGGAGAATGAAAGAAAAGTCAGGAAGAGTCGGAGAAAGAGAAGAAAGACGTGAGTGACCATGATCGTCGGGAAACGAACCTGCAACCTATCGATTAGAAATCGCTGCACATACCACTGCACCATATGGGACACACACACACGCACACACACACCTTGACCTTGATACTCATAACCCAGGAGAATGAAAGAAAAGTCAGGAAGACTTAGTCTGAGAAAGAGAAGAAAGGCGTGAGTGACCATAATCGTCGGGAAATGAACTTGCAACCGATCGATTAGAAATCGCTGCACATACCACTGCACCATATGGGACACAAACACACGCACACACACACCTTGACCTTGATACACGTTGCCTTGATAGTTGATACCGGTAGGTTACACCAAGAGTTCATAACCCCCATGGGGTTATGAACTCTTGGTTACACGGTCCCCGTCAGGGAAGAGGGGTGGAAGAGGCTGAGGAGCAGCACTTCTGATGGCGTACTAGATGGTGACGTAGTCGGAACTTCCTTTGGCAAGGGCACTCAAACGGGAAGTCGGCCCTTTCCGACACTGTCCTTCGTTTCGTGCGGTCACACTTGTGTCTGGCCAAGCCGCTGCTGGACTTGAAACTCCGGTGACAGGTGCTGCACTGCGGAGTGACCGGGTTGCCCGATGTTGGGAGCAGGTCCGTGATCGCACCGAT